GCTGCGGCCTGCAGGAACGTTTGCGGCCGGGGCCCGTGGGTGAAGAGAAGAGGCAGGCTTCGGACAGGCCACAGAGAGGCCGCGGCAGGCCTGCCGGCTGCCGAGGAGGGTTTGAGGGCTGGGCCCGTGGGTGTCTAACGTTGCCTTCGGAAGCCCATAGAAAAAGCTTTCTGGGCCAAGCTGCGGCCTGCAGGAACGTTTGCGGGCGGGGCCCGTGGGCGAAGAGAAGAGGCAGGCTTCGGACAGGCCACAGAGAGGCCGCGGCAGGCCTGCCGGCTGCCGAGGAGGGTTTGAGGGCGGGGCCCGTGGGTGTCTAACGTTGCTTTCGGAAAAGCCCATAACAAGAGGAGAGGCAGGCCTCGGACAGGCCACCGAGAGGCCGCGGCCAACCACAATGCACCTGCACACATGCCTTTGGAAGTGCTTGGAAGGGTTCTGCAAGGCTTGGCCAACTGCTTCACCCGGCGGTGTCCCAGGCGCCTCCCCGCCTAGGCTTTGGCTATAGGCCGGGGTCGGCGGATATATATATAACTGCTTGATACAGAAGACTAGACTCTAGTTTTCATCAACGGAGATGCAGTTCTTCAAGGAGGAAGCTCATGCGTTTACTCAAGCAGCTTAGATCGTGTTCCACCGCCAAAAAGAGTCCAACCTTCCGTCTCGTTCCTGACCGCGGCCCTCAGCCTTCCACCTTCACCTTGGATGCCTGGCAACAGTTGGAGGAGACCAGCTGCGACCTGTCACCCAGCAGCAGATGGCAGGAGGTTGGGGGGTTCGTTGCAAAACCACTTTGCAAGTTGACCAGTGATTCTGCAATTCTGTGTGAATAGGCTGCAATTCTGTGACGCAGTGTTTTCAGTGCGCTGAGAGGTTTTCTGCCAAAACAGGGGTCCAGTATTCTCTTTGCTCTCTTATCATCCATCGCTATTAGGTTGGAGGCCATCGCTTCTAGGTTGGAGGCCATCGCTATTAGGTTGGAGGCCATGGCTATTAGGTTGGAGGCCATCGCTATTATATAGGTTGATTGCTCTCTTATCATAGCTCACATTCAAGGCCCTGCGATGGCTGGAGTGCCTCGGACTTTGGAAGCCTCACAAGCTACTTCAGCAGCTTGCCCGGCCACCAAAGACGCAAAGATGGGCACCAAGGGAGACCTTGATGTTGAAAACAGGGAGCTACCTACACTTGAAGATGGAAACCCAATCTGGTAGGGTGGGATCGTGACCTTCCACCTTGCCCAAAGAGGCTTTTGTTCCAAACTTCTGTACCGGTTAATGGCATGAACAAGCAATGAATTGCTGGTGAAGGGCACGATCTAAACGGACCTTCACACAGGTTCAGACCTCTCTAACATTGGCGCCTAGCTGGACCAAGGCCGGGCTTCTGTGGAGGCAGCGCTGCTGAAGCCCCAAGATTTTCTGCAGCACGCTCCATTTCTTGCACAAATGTACCAGACAGAACGCAAGACTGGCGCCTGTACCTGTGGAAGGTCGTTTTTTGGCTTAGGCTGGTACCTTCAGCTTCTACGAGATTTGGGATGCTGTGATGGCCGTGGGTCAAGGCCCAGATGGGATGGGCACTTCTCAGGGAGGCACGCCTTGCGGCCCTTGCTGCCTCGAGAATTGTTGACGTTGTGTTCCAATCTTAAGCACCCTGGGCACTGCAAAACTATAGGGGGATATAGGGGGTATATTTAGCGGGCTTCCTAAACCAGGAACATTTTGTCCGTACATCACCTCTTTGTGGTTCGATGCTTTGCGCCTTTGACGACACCTTCATCGCTTTGAGGTGCGCTGGACCGATCTCGCACGTTGTGGTGGCAAGTAGTGATGGCCAAGGCCCCAGGCGGTTGGTGGAAGAATGTGCACAGAGGTTGACTTATGTCGATGTCGACTTAGAGGATGTTCCTTTCTCTCTTGTCAATCAATAATGGAACATGTTAAAAAATGCAGGAACCAAATCATTAGCGCGAGCTATCCTGCGGACTGCGTTCATATTGGTAGCTTAAGTAAGCTACTAGCTACCTAGCTACCTACCCACCGACCTACCTACCCTACCTACCTACCTCCCTCCCTCTACCTTTGGTGGCCTACCCCCCTTGAAGAATTAAAACAACACGTTATATAATGTTTGCATTGTTTATCATGCAATGAACTCTGTGCTTCAGGTCCAGACGGTGATGGCAAATTCTGAGCACCGTGACATCTACGAGGAGTCTCGAAACGAGTTGTGAGAGCGAGACCTTCACTTTTCCACTTAGTACCATTTGTCGATGGCCTCTTTCAAGTGCAAGGGGTTGAGCCCAAGTTTTGCTTCTGGAGCGACAGGCAATTGCAATTTGTGAGACAGAAGGAAGCAACTCCTGGTCCATGTTCCAGTCTCAACCTTCAACGTCCTCCGTCCTTCATGGTCGTCCGCTTGGCGCCTAGTGAAAGGCCCGAAGGCCAGGCCAGTCTCCATGCGAGACAGTTGACCAAAGAAGCGATTTTGTCTTCAAACGAGGAGAATTCGACGCCGACAAAACAACCTCTGCCAGGATGGCACCTGGCTATGGCGGCTCCATGCCAGCTCGGCACTGACAGGGCGCCGTGGGGCTCAGAAGTGGATCAGATTCAGCGTGGATCGATCACAATATACAGTACATATATATATATATAGAGATGATTATTGCCAATTACTATAGTCAGCAGGGATGTCCAAGAAGCCAAGTAGTTCTAGTCATAGAGAAATGAACAAAGGCTACAAAGTCCAAGAAATACATTGCTCTGCAGCCTTTTGAAGATCTGGAAACGGGTCCAGAAGTTCAACAAAAGCAAGGCCTGTCCAACAGCCGAGGGGCGGCCTTCCCCTACCACCGCGACCTGGCAGAGCCCATCGTTGGGTTGGTCATGGCTGGGGGCCTCAAGCAGACTGAGAAGATGCAGGGAAGTGTGACATTGGAAGCGGCCACCTTTCTTCAATTTTCGGAGATCTTGCATTTGATGGGGCGAGTTTTGAAGATCCTGCAATCTTTAAGAGGGAGGACTGCGGGGTGCCAACACATACACCAGTACAAAGTTTATACAAGGCTTAGGGCCTCAAGTTTGGTGCTACCACATTGGGGTGGTCAGATCTCTGTCCAGACGCATCCCAGGATGAAGAGCCAGAGCAGCCCATGGTCATGGGCACCTCCCATACGGGCAGCCTGTGTCATGGCAGCAGTTGCGGGTGCTGAGGGTCGTGGCTTCTGTTGCAGTACCACAGCCCTAGAAGGCTTTCACTTGTTGAGCACAGCTTTTTTGTGAATAAGGAAGTTCTTGTCATGGCAGGGTCTCTTTGGCCCTTGCTTTTTGCTGACTTTCTGCAGCAGGTATGCCATCCCAGCATCCACCAGGCCGTCTTGAGGGGGTGGAGTCATGTTTTCCCTGCTTTTTGGTACAGCCTACTTACCTGTAGCCATGTTTAAGACCTTGGCATTAGTCAGAGGTCAGAATGTAAGGGCCTTGCATGCAACTGGATGAATGTTTGTTCTTGATGATGGCAAACTTTCATTTTACCCTGTGTCCTTTGATCTCCAAACTTGTATCTTGAATCACTTGAAGTGGTACGATGAAATATCAAGGACGCAGCCAGTCCTCAGATTTCCACTGTCGCGGGAAAGTCCCTTTTTTCCAGAGACCAATCTTGAACGCACCGAAGATTGCTGCTAATAGACTCATAGACATTCATCGCTGCCAGGAGTCCTCCTCAGCTGGTCAGAGCCTCATAGGGCGGAAGTTGCACTGGGGTGTGCTTGGCACTCACTTCCCAAGAGGACAACACTCCTCAGGTCATAAACAGCTGAAGTGCTTTCTGGCAATCGGTTTGGTCCTTGTTTGGAGTACTTAGAGACTAAGGGGGTGTAATTTCTAACCAATTGCACGCACTGGCCATTTGCGCCTGAGATCTTGGACGGAGCCAGCTTCGAGGGCCACACCGTGGACGGCACCCCGGTGGAGCCGGGCGCAGCGCCGGTGGCCACCTTTGACCAAGATAGGCAGAGAATCGAGAAGTGCACATTTACGCTGGATGTCTGCTCAGTCCTGCTTGCGTAGACATGGAGGGAATGCTGTGTACCAGTTTTGATCCACTGTAATCCATGAGAGGTTGTACGGATTGCAGGATGGAAGGTAATTTATCCTCACAAATGGAAGAGCGTGCTTTGTCCTCTTGGATGCTATGTGTGAGGCGCACAGTGTTTGCAGCGCAGCCCATTGGCTACGGAAACTCCAGCCTCTATGTGTGGGACTCTAGATACAGAGTAGGAGGTGGGGAAGTGGGCTCAGTTCCTGTACCTTTGGTGGTTTACCGTTCGCCAGGTTTGCGGGCACATGTTTCATGGGCTCCCAACATAGTCTAGAGATGTCTAGAGTCTAGACTTGATTCAGGGAAGTATATAGATTGGATGGGAGGTTAGAGAGTCCTGCCCACCATCCACTTGTTCCCCCGGAGCAATTCACCAGATCAGCATTACAGCAGCGACCGGTGCACACTTCATGATTCGAAACAACATTGATGCCATGGGAACTGTAGGGTTTTGACTCTGTGAACATTCTATTTTCACAGATACATTCAAGTATTGCTAGCAGCGGAACATCGAGATTCGCCAAGCAAAACCCACGAAGCCCACAGTTCCCTGAGGCTTTAGAGCTTGATGCTGCACAAAAACTTGCCTACCGTGTGCACCTCGGGGGAGACGGTTAAACACCAATGAATGGTTTCTTGAACTGCGCCAACATTGTGTTAAGATCATCAAGCAGCCCTTGTTTTGTCCAGGCCACTATCGCTTCATCCCGTTCTGCAATGCGTCCTGGTGTGCCGTGAATGAGCTCCGCTTCCGCTTTCAAGAGGAGGAGGCCAGAAGATTTAACGGTAGACTTAAACAAAGGACGATCCTGCTGAGACGACCATTATGGGTTCAGCGCGTTCATCCGAGTACCTTGTTGGACACATTTTTGAGAGGCTTTGTGGTTAGAAATGTAAGATTGAAGGGTTGCTCCAGAATGTTTTTTCTGAATGAGGTCAAGATTGGAGCACATTCAATGATTTTCTAGCAACATGGTGGGTAATGTTTCAAGGTGAAAGGGGCAAGAACCATCACAGACAAGCATGCCAGATAGATATGTCCACTGCCACTACATATTTCCTCAGTGACCTCACTGCCGTGACCTCAGAGTTGCACAATTTGTGTCGAAATGGGTGACTAGTCAGAACAAGCAGAAGAGACCTCAAAGGCTGGCTGCCAGGGTCAGACGTCCCTTGTGCACTTGTCATTGATGTCGTTGGTCAATTTTAAAACTAATTCTAATAGCTTCTTGTTACTACTAGTAAGGCGCTTGTTACTAGTAGCGATGCACTTGTTCCTAATAGCGATTCTGCCTGGGATGTAAACTGAGGACGTGACTCTTCGGAATGGTGCCATTTTGATTGATTTCCCTGCAGCAACACTGGTGGATGAGTGGCTTGGCCCAGTGCACTGAAATTCATGGGATGTTATCCAAACAAACCAGGTCTGCCTGAGCACAGAGCACAAGAAATCCTTGGATGGATGTTGTGGTCATCCTTGGATGTCGTTGAAGTTGTGCCATTGTATATAACATATTGTTTCTCTCCAGGTGGACACTTCCCACCAACCAGCTCCAGCAAAGCCAGGTTTTCCATCTCCATCCCCTACAACACCACAGACAGCGTTCCAGACCGCTGGATTTTGCAGGGCAGCAATGACAGGCACGGCAACCAATTGACAGTCATGCAAATCCCGGTGATTAGCTGGCTGTACCTCGTCCTTTTTTTGACTTGACACATTTCAACAGTGACAGTACCGGTGCATGCTCGCAGAAACTCATTTGTTCAGCACCTCGCGATTGGTTGTTATATTAGGGACTGACATATTCTCAGCCATATCACCCTGTGACATTCTGTGACCTTCGTGACTTCCCATGCCTCCACGCAGAAACTGTGGGTGCTCAACCGCTGAACTGGCGCATCAGCCAGGGTGCGGCGCTGCGTCCTGTCGGGAGCGCCCAGCTACCAGGCCATGCCGGACGGAACCTATGCGCAGATGTGCGGATTCCCAGTGGAGGCAAGATGGGATGTAGACCCACTAGTCACTTTAGTCTGTTTGGCTTCCTTCTTCGCGATTGATATGATGAACCTGTTTTCTTTTGAGTTCCAATGGTTTGGGCTGGGGCGGTTTCACTCAGTCTCTTGCGCAAGAAGGGGTTGTAAAGATCAGGAGAGAGTGGTGATTACCGTAGCTTCACCGCTGGAACTTGCGGTTTGGCAAAGGAGACAGTGGCAACGGGGAACCAGACCGCCCGATGCTTCAAGGCTTCACCTGACGTCAAAATCAATGGTATTCTCTTTTTGGTCTTCCAAATGCTAGTAGCTAAGGGCATCGCTACTAGTAACAAGGGCATTACTACTAGTAACAAGAAGCTACTAGTAGCCAAACTCAGGAACATACTCATAGTTTGCAGTTGCTCAGACTACCACAGCTCTCACAGGCTCCGGGTTGAGTTGAGCTCCTCTTGACATTGAACTCAGCTGCATCTTTGGGTGAATGTACAAAGAATGCGAAAGAATGCCAGTGGGAAAAAACTAAGTTGTTGAGTTGAGGGGATGATTTGTTTGATAGCATCTTTTGTCTTTTGTTTTTTTGGTTCTGGCAACGTCACCTCAGTGACTCAGCGAGCCCCGGGCTGCCGAACCTTGTGGCAAAAAACAAAGATCAAGCTAGAGCATCACCAGGACCTGCTAGCGCTTGGGGCCACTGAGGATGGGCGAGACCAAAGAGGGCCGGACCGTGTACCGGGAAGCCTCAGGCCGCTGGGACCAGAAAAGCATACCGGAAGGCTCGAGCTAGTGACACTTGAGGTGTGACATCAATTTGAAAGTCAGGCCCAATGCCCAATGGGCTACTTTCCCCGGAGCTGCGACACCCGAATGGCTGTTTAGCAGACAAGCCATTCTTGCGGTAGTTGGGTCATTTGCACCGAACTTGTTCCTCTTGTCCCTTTTTTCAACGATCTACATGCTGCAGGTGCCATCATCTATTGGGATCAGACCACGCTCAGCTGGTGGGTGAGCCCTCGTTTGCAGCAGGGCGGCTATGGTGCTATCCGTTGTGTGTCTTGGATGGGAGAGTGTGTGAGAGAGTTGGCTTTCTTGCCTTTGTGCCAGGTAACATGATGGAAAAGAGCACCAGATGTGACCCTTCTAGAAGTTATGAACAATACCCTCGGTAAGAGATGAAGCGAAATCAGCAAGATCTGCGGAGACCACTCACCGGGAGGATACGGGCCCAAGGGAAAAGGTCCAAGCAATGTTGAACCACGATGCAACAAAACTGTGGCAGCTTTACACTGGGTCGGTGGTCTGAGAATCCTGCAAGAACGGTAGGAAGGAAGCTTGAGACATGATGTCATGAAAGACCACGACCAATCGCTGCAAGGTGGGCGACGTCACCGATCCTCACCTGTTGAGCCAAGCCTCGTGTGTGGGATGGAATGGGCACCTTGGCCGAGTCCTTGTTTGTGTTCCTCTTGGCTCAACATGTCAAGCAAGCAGAATTCAGTTCTTTTTGGGTGGGGTTCGTGACAGTTTGTGATTTTTTGGTATCAGTGACGCATACCACACGAACTCCCGCTTGAGCCCCCAGTGAGGTCCGTTGCCCGATGCATCAAGAATCATGAAACCATGTTCGAGGATCAATGTGCTGATTTGCAGTCTCAGTTGATCGCTTGCTTCGCAACTGAGGCAGTTTTGGGATGTGGCTCCCAACGTGTCCTTCGAGTGCCAGGGAAATGAATGGATAGTTCTTTGGCTGTAAGGGCATTGTTTAGTTTACCCCAGTTTAGTGGAGACAAATCTTCAAACCTGGAGGCAAGTGGCCTCAGAAGTTCAGAGAACAGAGGCGACTGACAAAGGCCCTTAGTGTAGTATGGTGGTCATGTAACTTTTGTTTCTTGGGCCTTGGGCCAAACATACAAACTTGCGAAACACAGCGAGCCCCGAGGCCTTTTTTGGTCACTAGCAGCCAATCTGAGGTCCTTCACAACCAAAGCAGGCCCTGTGGGCTTGGACGTTTGTGATCAACGGGAGTTGGAAGAAGTGCCTTGTGAAGCAAGGATGGAGAGGCCTGACCTGGCCCTTCTGGAGTCTAAGCTTGGCTGTAATCCAGTCAGAAGAGAGTAGACTAAAGTTCATCAAGAAATCTGTCCTAAGCTGCTTCGGCGGTTTCACGAGCCAAGACACCTCCAAGTCTTGGGGCCTCAGCGGCCCATAGCAGCCCCACCCCACCTGGGCATTGCCAGGTCCTATCCGTTGCCCGATGTGCCGTCAGCCCCGGTGCGGTGGTTTAAGGCTATGAGGGCGCTCAACGTGTATTGATGAGATATAAAATGAATATTGCAGTGATCCACATCTTCTTTATTTTCTTTCTTCCGGGAACCTGACGGGTTTTGTGGCTCTCAGAGGTTTCTCCCATGGTCCCGAGTCCCGAGAAAACAGTCCTTCGATCATTTGCGTGATTCGTCCCTTCCGGACCGTCAATTACTTTATCTAGAAGTAGAAAAAGTCATTAGTAAAACACATTAGGAGCAAGGACGCTACTAGGGGCTCCTGGCCGTACTACTAGGAGCAAGGACGCTAGTAGGGGCTCCTGGTCGTACTA